CGCACGGAGCGCTGGCGGGATCCCCGTCCACTCCGCGTGGTCTTCCCGCCTGTCGGTTCTGCGGACGGTTCTGCGCGGCAGTAGCTGGACTAAAGGCGGGCGCAGCGCTTTGGGTTAGCGCTGGTTCGCGGGGGAAGTGCGGTTAATTACTGCCCAACCTGCACCCCCCGCCCCCCAATCCCCCGTCCTCAGTGAGGGGTGCCTAGTGGAGGGGGGGAGGTGAAGGCTGGTGCAGGCCCCCGTGGCGTCCCTGGGATGTGGACTCAGGCCCTTGCCCTGGCCCTGGCCGAGATGCCACCGGGTTTCCTCTAGGGCGGCCGGGCCTGTGCACCATCAGAAGGCAGCTCCTGGCTCCTCGCCTGCCCGCAGGGAGACCACAGTCTGGGAAGAGACTGCAGCGATCATGAAAGGCGTCTGTAGAGGCACTGGAAGGGGAGGCCGGGTGGTCTGCCTGTATGTGCCTCGGTTTCCCCGGCTGTGGGAAAAACAGCATTTGACTTGGCCCCTTTCTTTCTGCCGGCCTCCCGGCTGCTGGGACAGGAGCGGAGCCAGAGTGCACATGAAGGGCTGTTTGCAGTGACTGTTCTCGCGCACCGTGTGCAAGGCCTGTTGCAGCCGCAGTGCTCTCTTGTCTTAGCTCAGTGAGGTGCAGCCCAACGGGGACCCAGGTCTCCTGGTGCGGGGTCCCATGGAAGGGGTGCAGGGTTTGGGGCAGGGAACATCTCCTCAGGTGAGCACTGAATCCGGAGAGAGCCAGCTGGGCTTCTGAGGGCTGCTGGCCGGTGACACAGAGGGGGGCAGGGGCTGGGCCAGGGCTGGCAGGCGCCCCTGTAGGGTCCTGGAATAGTGGAGATGCCCAGTGCCCATCCCCATTGTCAGTCAGGACCCCCTTTCAGCCTCTCTGCTGGGAAGGAGGTAGGTGGGGCCTTCACCCCTCGGGCCTGGCTGCCCTTTGAGGGTCTGGCTTCTGGCCCTGATCCCTCCTGGAGCTCTGTTTATGGCTGTAATTGTATCATTAGCCAGAGTTTATAGAGTTACTTAGCACCTGCCCCCACAGGGAGTGGCCCAGCCACCCCTGGCTTCTGTCTCTTCCTTTTCAAAGTCAACTTGGTTTCTGCTGGCAGCAGGGGTTTCCCCAACCACAGCGGCATGAAAGCCAGGTTGGGCCTTTGTCCTGTGGACCAGGGCAGTCAGCACTTGGGGCCCAGCCTGGGGCTGCCCTGGAGATGACCGTGGAAATGGAGCTGAGAAATGTCCGTATCCCAGGATGCAGTGGTAATGTGTGTAATGTGTGTGTCCTCACCTGAAAAGAGATAAAAATGCACACACCTCATGGGCTGTTGTGAGGATTCAAGAGGAGCTGTGCCTGGTACATGGTGAGTTGTGGTGTTGCTCTGGGTGCCAATATGCAGTGTAATTGATGGGGGTTTGTGTGTGATTATGAAGTACAGGTGTCTAAGTATGTGTGTATAGATGAATTGTGCAATGCATGTCTGCGAGACTAATAGTAACACAATATTATATTAATAGACTCTTCATCCATTCTCTTTATGCTATAACAGGACAATATTATAATAAAACTTAGTTGTCAACAATAGTTGCCAACATTTATTGTGTATTTATTTGTTAGAATGAAGTAGGAGCTATGATCTTCATTATACTGACTCAGGAAAGCTAGGGAAGTTGCCTGAAGTTACACAGCCTAGAAGTAGTAGGGATTCTAACCAAGGCCCAAGTGACTCCAGAACCCGGTTACCGATCCCTAAAGACCACTTCGGGGTTTCCTGGCATTCTCTCTTAAGAGGTGGGGGTGTGGTGGTCTGGAACCTTCTTTTTCCCATCCAGGTTTCCTGCTCTGAGCATGAGCAGGAACTTGATGAGGCCCCTGCCCCAGGACCACACCTGTCTCTTGGCCGCTTCTCCAAGCTGCTGTCACAGGTGATCAAAGGACCCCCGCCGAGAACCTTCTTGACTCGCCTGAGTTCACACAAGGCTTCCTGGGTCTCCTTGGAAACCACAGACGTAGTAGACGTCTCTGTACAGTGGAGCCTCAGCTCAGTGGGCACTTGCGTGATCAGATAGGAGAAAAGGCTGTGGGGACTATTGGGTGAGAATGAGGCAGCAGTGAAAGTCATGAGGACACGGGAGAGCGAACCTCCCTCTGACAGGCTGTGTGGCTGGGCCAGGCCCTGCTCCTCCCAGTCTCGGTTTCCATATCTGTGAACCTAAACCAGTGATGGCGAACCTTTTGAGCTCGGCGTGTCAGCATTTTGAAAAACCCTAACTCAACTCTGGTGCTGTGTCACATATAGAAATTTTTTGATATTTGCAACCATAGTAAAACAAAGACTTATATTTTTGATATTTATTTGATATATTTAAATGCCATTTAACAAAGAAAAATCAACCAAAAAAATGAGTTCGCGTGTCACCTCTGACACGCGTGTCATAGGTTCGCCATCGCTGTCCTAAACCATCTGTGGGATCCCCTGTGATGCGAACCTCCTACAGATCCCCGGCAGAGGCACCAGAACAGGAGAGGCTCAGAAAGAGGGGAACTGCGGCATCCGCTCACCAGAGGCCGGCCTGGTGGAGTGACCAGCCAGCTTTGCTTGGGACAGAGCCATAGCTCCCCTGTAACGAGCACTGGGCTAAGTGTAACCTAGGCGGGGGTCGTTGAGAGCACGGGCTCTGGGGCCCGGCTTCCTGGCTTGGAATCCAGTTCTGCCACTTCCTAGCTGTGTGGCCCTGGGCAAGCTCCTTAACCCCACTGTGCTCCCATTTCCTCGCCTAAACAGTGAGGGTTACAGTAGCTCCTACCTAATAGTGCTGTGGTGAGGGCTGTGTTCATGCTCGCTGCATGTATAGAAGTCAGAATAGTGCCATGCTCAAAACGTTAGCTATGATCGCCCTGGCCGGGGTTGCTAAGTGGTTAGAGCATTGGCCCTTGGACGGAAGGGTCGCAGGTTCGATTCCTGGTCAAGGGCACATACTTGGGTTGCAGGATTGATCCCCAGCCCCGGTTGGGGCATGTGTGGGAGACAACTGATGGATGTGTTTCTCTCACGTCGATGTTTCTCTCCTCCCTTCCCTTCCTCTCTTCCACTCTCTCTAAAAATTAATGGGAAAAATATCCTCAGTTGGGGATTAACAGCAACAACAACAAAATGTTAGTTATTACCATTATCTCTTATAACTTCTTCTTTCCTCCCTCCCTCCCTCCCTCCTTCCCCCTTTTCCTTCCTTTTCCTTCCTTCCTTCCTTCCCTCCTTCCCATTTTCAAGTGAGGAAAGAGAGGCATAGAGAGCTCTAGGGAAGAAACAAGACCTATGAGCTGCAAGTAGTCCCCTGTGTGCTTAACATCTGCAAATGAAATACCTGACACTGCTTTGCAGCCTCCATGGCCACAGTCTCCACTACTCCCTGTAGCACCCCACCCAGCCTGGTCTCCCATTCAGCAGGATAGCCTAGGGGACTGGGCAATGCCTGCAACATCTCCACCATCCCTGTCCTGCCTGTCCCTTGGGAGTCCTTGAGTGGCATCTGGCCTGGTCGCTTACTTCCACTCCTGACCCGTGGCTCTTCCCTGTGCTCCTGCTGCCTGCCTGCCCCTTCTCCGCTCTGCACCAGAGACACAGGTCCCCTTGGCTGCAATGTCACGGGAGGTGGAGCCACAATCCCAGCGATAGAGCAGATTCTGGGACCTGCCATGCCCATAGCAAGTGCTCTGCTGTGGGGTGGCGAGGCAGTGGGTGAGAGCAGAGGGCGGCTCAGAGGGGTAGAGGCAAGAGGCAGAACCATTACCAGTCTTTTCTCCTGGCTCTTCAGTGTGGGCATAAGGAGAAGGAGAAATGGGGGAGAAGGAGAAATGGCGTCTGGCCGTCCCACCCCTGTCCAGCTTCCTCTGGGGCAGGCCTCCTGTTGGCTCTGATCCACAGCAGAGGTCCCAGAGTAAAATATGATGCCAGGGGTCTAATCCAGGAATCCCAACAGACTCTCCAGAAACCCCTGGTCCCTTCCCTCAGCCCTTGTTCATGCCAGTGCCCTCTCCTGGCACCCTGTCTCCTGCTCCCTCCTTCTCTAAATCCTGTCCATCAAGGCACACCTTCCCAGGAGACCCAGGGGACTGGGCTCTCCGACTTGGGCCCTGGCTGGCTATTATGATCGCCTGGGAGCTCTTAAAAAATACCATTGCTGCCCTAGCTGGTTTGGCTCAGTGGATAGAGCGTCAACCTGTGGACTGAAGGGTCTCAGGTTCAATTCCGGTCAAGGGCACATGCCCAAGTTGCTGGCTTGATCCTAGTAGGGGACATGCAGGAGGCAGCCAATCAATGATTCTCTCTCATCATTGATGTTTCTATCTCTCTCTCCCTTCCTCTCTGAAATCAATAAAGATATATTTTTTTATTTTTAAAAAAAATATATTTTATTGATTTTTTACAGAGAGAAAGGGAGAGGGATAGAGAGTTAGAAACATCGATGATGAGATCAGCTGCCTCCTGCACACCCCCTACTGGGGATGTGCCCGCAACCAAGGTACATGCCCTTGACCAGAATCGAACTCGGGACCCTTCAGTCTGCAGGCCAACGC